CCTGGTGGGTTGTGCCCTCCTCGGCCCACTTCTGGTGCCCATATTCTGGTATATAAGTCATTTTGACCTAGAAAAATTAGGAGATTACTTTCGGGATGAAGCGCCGCCGTCTCGAGGCGAAACTTGGACAGGAGCACTTTTGCCCTCCGGCGGAGCGATTCCACCGGGGGAACTTCCCTCCCGGAGGGGGAAATCATCGTCATCATCATCACCAACAACTCTCCCATCTTGGGGAGGGCAATCTTCATCAACATCTTCAACAGCACCATCTCCTCTCAAACCCTAGTTCATCTCTTGTGTTTAATCTTTGTAACGGAACCTTAGATTGGTGCTAGTAGGTAACTAGTAGTGTTGATTACATCTTATATATAGTTGATTACTATATGGTTTATTTGATGGAAGATTATATGTCATATCCATTATGCTATTTAATACCCCTCTGATCTTGAGCATGATTATCATTTGTGAGTACTTAGTTTTGTTCTTGAGGTCACGGGAGAAATCTTGTTACAAGTAATCATGTGAACTTGATAGTGTTCAATATTTTGATGATATGTATGTTGTGATTCCCTTATTAGTGGTGTCATGTGAACATCGACTACATGACACTTCACCTTATTAGGGCCTAAGGGAATGCATTGTGGAGTATTTATTAGATGACAGGTTGCGAGAGTGACAGAAGTTTAAACCCTAGTTTACGCACTACTTCATAAGGGACTGATTTGGATCCAAAAGTTTAATGCTATGGTTAGATTTTATCTTAATACTTTTCTCGTAGTTGCGGATTCTTGTGAGGGGGTTAATCATAAGTAGGAGGTTTGTTCAAGTAATGACAACACCTAAGCACCGGTCCACCCACATATCAAATTATCAAAGTAGAGAACACGAATCAAACCAACATGATGAAAGTGACTAGATGAAATTCCCGTGTACCCTCAAGAACACTTTGCTTATCGTAAGAGACTGATTTGACCTGTCCTTTGCCTCAAAAGGATTGGGCTACCTTGATGCACTTTTGTTACTGTTACCGTTACATATTCGTTACAAATTACCTTACCATTAAACTACTCATTACTTATAATTTCAGTGCTTGCAGAGAATACCTTGCTGAAAACCACTTGTCATTTCCTTCTGCTCCTCGTTGGGTTCAACACTCTTACTTATCGAAAGGACTATGATTGATCCCCTATACTTGTGGGCCATCACAAATCCCAATCTCGATCCATGCCAACTCAACAAACACCTTCAGAGATACCTGTACAACATCTTTATGATCACCCAGTTACATTGTGACATTTGATAGCACACAAGGTATTCCTCCGGTATTCGGGAGTTGCATGATCTCATGGTCGAAGGAACATGTATTTGACATATCAAGAAAGCTAGCAATAAATTGAACAATCATATGCTAAGCTAATAGATGGGTCTTGTCCATCACATCATTCTCCTACTGATGTGATCCCGTTTTCAAATGAAAACACATGTCCATGGTTAGAAAACCTCAACCATCTTTGATCAACGAGCTAGTCTAGTAGATGCTTACTAGGGACACAGTATTTGTTTATGTATTCACACATGTATTTAAGTTTCCGATCAATACAATTCTAGCATGAATAATAAATCTTTATCATGAATGAGGAAATATAAAATAACAACTCTATTATTGCCTCTAGGGAATTTTTCCTTCATGAATTGCAAGTCAACTGCCAAGGCTCATAAAATAAGACCACATATGTAAGAAATTCCATAATGATGGATTTTGGAGTCATATGATTACGAACCATCTGACACTAGCAACTTTCGTCCAATAGCGAAGTAAACTAAAATACCATTCACAAGCCATAAAGAACGACCAACAAAATAATTGGAAATATGCATATTGATGTATGTAGTCCAATAAATTTTGTTGCAAGCAGTGGATTTATCTATCTTCAAAGATGACTTAAGTAGTGATCTTTTGAAATGTTTCAAAAGATTTTCAGAATGAAGTGGAATTTATTGTAACAAAAAAATTTATGTTTCTACAGCTGGACTCCCGGAAAGAATATTTGAGTTACAAATTTAGCGAATGTTTGATAAGGCGTGAGAAATATTTTATAGCTTGCACCTCCTAGAAACAGTAATAAGGGTAGATTGTTGTGAGTAGATGTAATTATACCTGGCCATACCTCGGGCCGGGCCTAGACAAGCCCGACGAAAAAAACCTAGGCCCGAGCCCGCCCCGGCCCGGCCATCGGGCCTGTTTTCTGGGTCCAAGCCCGGCCCGAACACATAAAAGCCCGTCGGGCTCCAGGCCGGCCTGGCCCGACCTTCATAGAAATGCGAAAAGGATGGGCCCGGGCCCGGCCCGGCCCGGCCTTCGGGCTCAAAATCTAGGCCCGAGCCCGGCCCAGGGGCAGCGTCGGGCCGGGCCGGCTGGGCCGGGCTTCCCATGGCCAGGTCTAGATGTAATCAAGCTATGTATGACATGGTGCGATCAAAGGTGACATTAATTATTTCGCCAATATACTTTATAATGTGATGTTTTAGTGATTATGGCTTTTACACTAAAAAGAGCGCCATCAAATTTGTTGAAATAAGTGCTATTTTATAGGTTATCCCAAATGGTTGGGTATTCCTCTACCATTACGCCAAGGTATTGCCAGAGAGTGCAGGAATTTTGAAGAAATTGTTTTCTACAAAAGAATGAGTGAGAGGACAGTGCAAATCGACAAGATTGCAGAATCACCGTGATCAGGTCAAAGAAAAAAGAAATGCTAGAAATGGTTCTAAAATTTCCTACAGCAACTAATATGAAAAGTCTCTACATGAGATATAGAGAATTTGGTCAAACTTGCAACTGAACCATATATGTTGGGTAAATTTGTGCAGACTTTCACAATGTGCAGATGAAATATTGTTGAATAAATATGGAAGCTATAATTTACATAGAAGCGTTGATGGGCCTTGACTCCGGAATTGGCTATACTTCAAAATAATTCGAAATGATAGCCTTACACATAATTCAAGTTTAGAACTTGATGCACCCTCTAAAAGACTTAAAAGTCTAAAGTATAGTTATGGATCTATAGATTGACAAAGATAAAAATATTTTATAATACTTGACTTATTGCTAATAGTTTATGACAGGATTAAGGAATTGATTTATGATGAGATTGTCTCATCATAATAATTCTTAAAGTCGGTTCAAATTAAACTAGCAATTACTAAATATTCCAGTTATGTGATATAACAGATGGATGCCGAAATGATTCCCATGAGATTTGTAGTGTGTCCAACACGTCGACGCATTTTTGCCCGGGCGGCCATATTTTTTTCCTTTTTGCATACATATGAAAAACATTGCGCAAAGTTCAGATAATTCAACTAAATGCAAATATCATAGTTTCTTAAACCAAATAAAATCTCATAGTTTACAAATCAAATAAAATTTTAATGTCACAAATACATTTAAAAGAAAAAAACAGCCCATAAATCTATTCGTTGCCAAGGTGAGCATCCCGGTGCATACAATCTATGCTACCGAGCATCTCCGGAAAGCCCCTATCGAAATTAATCGCCAACAACCGAGTTGTATCTATAGCAGTTGTTCTCTCAAGTACTCCAGTTCAAATACTGCTACCACAGCCTTGCAAAACCTATGCATGGATTCTAGACACGTGGAATCGCTCATCCGGACATACTCGTCAATAAGATCACCCGATATTCCATATGCAACTATCTGAATAGCTGCATTGCATTTCTGATAAAAGGATAAGTCAACCTTTCCCGGTGCATCCTCCTTACATTCCAAATAATTATCATAAGCCATCCCCTCCCGGATAGGATTGAACACATGTCTAGCCATCCGGAAGTGGAGCCGAAATATGTTGTGTTTGAAGAGTGGGTCAGCGGATTTAAAGTAGTCCTTCCAGAGTAGGCCATGGTCGTTCTCTCCATTGTGATTCAACGCTAGAGTATGCCCTGGGGTTGAGCCCCTCAAAATCGGTTGCTGCCTACTAATGTGATCATGGATGATCAAAGCCAAAACCACAATCTCCTCATCGTCGAACGACGAATCATCCAAATTGCAAATGAAGTTGTTGAAAAAGTACTCATCGTCACTATGCATTTGTACCTTGCGGGCGAAACGTCTAACACCTCGCTGGCGTGGAGCTAGAAGCCGACTGGTGAAGAGCCCCGCGTCTCTCCCAGACCAGGCAACATGCATGGAGGCAACCGTGGCGGCAACCAGTGTGCGAGGACGCCAAGCTTGGAGCGTTGCTGACAGCGGCGGTGGCGAGGGGTTGGTGTAGTCATGTTAGTGCTATGAAGGCGGCGAAAACAGTCCACCAACGCCGGCAAGAGCGGGAGTTGGTTGCGGCGAGCTGCTGGGGGAGATTTTGGGGGGGGGGTGCGGGCAGCGGCCTGGGCAGCATCCATTTAACCGGTGGGAACTAGGGACGGCGGTGAGGGCGGGGTGACTGGGTGTGTTGGCTGCCTATGGGAGAGGGGGAAATGACAAATGTGCCACCGAGGCAGCCAGGGGTAGGTGTCGCGCGCATCCATTCCTTGTCCGCGATGATGCAAACCGGCCCTGGAATTTGGACTGAAATGGGCCACACGCGAACAAAATGCAGGCGTTTGTCTGTTTGGGTCGATGCGTTGGATTGTGATTTGTGTCCGTCTAGACTCAAACAAACACGCGCGGACAGTTTGGATCGGCGCATTCGTTCCCCTTCTATGTTCCCAAGGACCTGTCTGTAATATACTGTTTCTTCAAGGATGACCCGTTTCGCGAAAAAGGGGTCCAGCTCAGCCCGGCTCGAGCGAGTCGGCCAGCGGCCCCGCCTCCTCCCCTCCCCCGCCGCGGCCGGATTTCATTTCGCCCTCCGCTGCCGGCCGCGGGTGTAAGGCGAGCCAGTCTCCTCTCCCCGTTAGGGTTCGCCCGCGCCGCCCCCTCTCCGCCGCGGCGCCTACCCCTCTCCGCTGCGGCGCCGCCCCCTCTCCGCCGCGGCGCCATGGTGGTGCTCAAGGTCATCAACACCGCCGTCAAGGAGCGGCTGCTCGATCTCCGAGGTTCGCCGCGCCACGCCCCATGCTCCCTTCCGCTCACCCATGGGTCCCTCCTCCCCCATCCACCCCCCACATCGGCGTCTAAGGTTCTTTGCTTCGCTGCTGCAGGGAGAGAGATGAGTTCAATCGAGGACCTCGGCGGCACCGAGGTGAGCTCCGCCTTCTCCTTCCTATTTCCTTTGATCTTCGAACTGGTACATGAAAACCTGGATCTATTAGCCTGGCGCCCCCACAGCGCTGCAAGTTTAGTTCATAACAGTGCACTTGTCCCTGTTTTCAGGACGAATTCGATACGATTGACCTGTCAGAAAACATGATCGCCAAGCTTGAGAACTTTCCTTGTCTGAATCGCTTAGGAACTCTAGTTGCTAGTGACAACAGAATCAACTACATCTGTTCAAATATTGGTGGTAAGAGGAACACTGTTTTGTCTTGTTGGCATGTGATTCTACCAACTGCATAATTTGCTCCATGGCATTTCTTCACTTTTCTTTGGTTTACTCTCATGTAGAACTTCTGCCAAAGTTGCATACATTGGTGCTCATGAGCAATGATATCACAACTCTTGCGGAGATTGACCCTCTTGCTGCTCTCCCAAACCTGAAATCTCTCTACTTATTAGAGAATCCTGTCACTGAGACGGCAGACTACCGGTTATATGTGATCCACATGCTGAAACATTTGATGTCACTGGACTTCGAGAAAGTGAAACCACAGGTTTGCAACCATCAAGTCCTTCAGCACACAATATTGCAGCAATGCATCTATGGGTTATTTACATGCTTTTCAGTTCTATTGCATACAACTCTATTCACTGAATTTCTGTGAATTAGATGAACCATTGCCATGGAATGCTTCTAGTCGACATGTTTTTCACATTACTTAGTGTGTGTGTTTGGGTTCTGTAATTATGTACGGGATTTCTGTAGGAGAGAACCACAGCAGAATATAAGTTCCACTCGAAGGAGGCACGGGAAGAGGTAAAGAAGACATCTGCCAAAGCTTATACTCCAATGAAGCCAGTGGGTGCTCAATATATAACAGAGAAGTCATGCCCTAAAGCAGTCTCTCCAGTACCATCTATAAAGGTACTTCAGTCCCCTCTTTATATTTTGGATACTGTTCATTTGATCATTACAAGGTTCGCTGAGTCCCTTTTACTCAACTGTTGCATTTAGAATTTTGTTTTGCTCTTGTCTTCTACTGGCATGTTTGGTATGCTCTTGATATTTACTTTGATAGATCCCTTTGTATGGGTTGTTTATGCCATGATGTTCATGCTGCCAAACTTGTTGGCTGTTTCATCTAGTCAAATCTGCACCACATGTAAATGCAAACTTTTCATTTATCTTAGCCCTACATAAGTTCTAGCCAGAGCATCATGCCCACTGCCCGAGTAAAGTGTGTGCCTAAGGTGTCATGTGCTACAAGACCCCTATAGTCGAAAAAAGATCGAAACAGTGACAAAACGTAGGATAACCCAGATCACTCGGGGCACCCGACTTGTTTTCAGAACAAACAACCCTGATCAGTTATACCTGAAATACTTTCACTTGCGGTGGTAATGAGGTATACGATTTTTTCCAATTACTATATTTATGTAGTGTTGTAAATACCAGCATCTTCTATTTCCCTACATCTGGCTGCGAATTTTGGTTGAACAAGGTTTTCTTGTGTAGGCTGCTATTGCGAGCTCTCAGACACTAAAGGAAATTGGCAAGATCAAAACTGTAATATGCCGTGTCATTTAGTCTGGCATCTGTACAGTTTGAAGCAGCCAACCAACCATGCACTGACATACTCCCGTTTGTCATTGTGGTTAGGTATTGAGCACTGGCCAGATGGCTGCTGAATTTGCTTTCTTCGAGCCTGAAATTGATATGGCTGAAGCCTTGGAGAAAACTGATAAGATAAAGGGTCAGAATCACGAGAATAGGGCTGATGAGCAGATGAGCAATGAAGAAAGCACCCTAATTCAAGAGGTACTAATGTGTTTAGTGTATTATTGCCTTATATAGTGTGTGCTGATGGGAAATGACTGAATTGGCCAACTATTGTAGTATTCTTTGAGTTTTTAACTGCTCTGTTGCTCATGATGCATGAATGCTCTTCCCGAACTGAAGTAGTTGTTTTGGTTTTAATGCAATGAACCTATGTCATTCAAATATTGTTTTTTGATAGATTGTAGTTTACTGAATAATGATCATTACGTTCTTCTGCATATTGTTTCTCTCAGGTAAAAGTCAGCATGTTGAACAACTGGATGATAGATATAGATCAGGTAAGATATCACAAGCTTTATCTGATTCCAACCTTCAGAATCTCTGCATTTGAATCCTTCAATATTGTTATGAGCGATTAGGTATTCTCAAGGGTGACATAATTTATGCTATATGTTGAAAATGAGAATACTCCCTTATTACCATGTATCTTTTGCTATTGAGGCTGCTTCATATTTCTATAGATTTTGGTGTTAAAAAGTTTCAAGTAATTGTTATTTGTGTAAAAAGCTTTTTCTTTAGCATCATCATGTGTTTGTAAATGGAGTGTTACCAATCTTTCTACCATAGAGGGATTCTGGTAGTAACAAGAACATTCCAAATAAAATATGTCATTTCTTTCAGTTAACAGGGTATGAGAAGAAACACGATACCTGGACAGTGATGACAAACCGAGTAGTTGTAATAGCCAGACAACATTGATCATGAGTGTTGAGCCATAAAGTAGCTTGAATGAATTGCTTAATAAACAAATAAATGTGGCTGCGGCTATTGTTAAAGCATACATTGGTAACTAGATAATATCCCACGCGTTGCGCCGAAAATGGGTTGCAATATACTTTTATGATATTAGATATTATGAAATATGTTATTGGGGGCTAGCTGTTTGGATATAGAATACTAGCAACTGATTGTGCCTTGCAACACAAGTTGTTTTTTGATATATGCATCGTTTGTTTAAATGTTTGCGCCACAAGTCTCTAACTGTCTGCAAAATAAAATTTTATCTCAAAATATATATCAGTTGGATCAGCCGTATGTCCACATAACGGTTGACAACTGTGATACTTTTCTAATAATAACATAAGAGGTAAAGAAAAGACATGCAATTCGTTTCTATTACTCGCAACGCTTTCGTTGTTTTTATAAGACAAACCAGGTGAATGCAATTGCTCAGCTTGGTTTGTTTGCTTAATTTTTTGAAATTAAACATAATTTTGGCTGCTCCAATTTTTGGAGACTGAACTTTGTAACCAAAAGCGAACCTTGATCTTAACCTATTAGACCAAAAACTCTGGAAAGTTAGTTGGTTATATCTATACTTGGTTATACTTGCTTGGGCCTCATTTATTTTGGGCCTGAGTCACCACGATTGCGGCATATCTACTTAACTTTACGGAGTACAACACTCGGCAAGAACAGGGGTTGAAGGGGTGGGATATCATAACATCGATTATTTTATTTCATAGGATCAATGTGAAAACATTTAGTAATCATTTTTCTTTGTATCAATAAAAACTGATAAGCTACTTGTGTTCAACAATCTTCTATTTTGTGCTTCAGTTATTATTTAGCTTTCAGTTGATCTATGAATATATTTTGTCATATGTCCAGTTTCTTTAGATTTTTGGGATGTTTGTCTCCTCCCCTCTTACTGGCACATACATGCATCTGTGCACACCGCTCACACAATCTGTGGTTTCCCTATTCTTGTACTGTTTTTTTAACAATTGCAACATTTTCAGGAAATCTTTGGAGCTGGTCCAGATTCAATATATGTAACTCAACCAAGACATATGGAAGAATACAGTATGATTTCTGTTTTAACATGTTGCATCCTTAATGGTACTCTAACTGAGGTCCTGAATTTATTTTAATATGTTCCCAACTAAATACACTGCAAATCTTTTTCTCTTTTGTAGTATACAAGAACTTCCAACAAACACCGTTCAGATTTATCTTGAGCTGGAGAAAAAGACTTTTTAAAAAAATGCACATATTACCACTGCCTCGGATGCAAATATCAGGTAAGTGCTCAGTGTTATGATTATTCATTTATAAGATACTATGGCTTCTACTCAACAAGCTGAGTTTCTTGATTTGATTTCCCCAGCACACACGTGGACTTTAAACTACATTATCTATGATATCCCGTTGAAGCTCTGTGCATGTTGTGCGAAACACTCATAGGCTCATTTGTTGTGACCCCAAATAAAGGTGCACAATTAGGGCAGAGGAGATGGTGGAGGATAAAGAAGACACGAGTAGATTAAATTAGTTTTGCAAGCTTTCTATGAACTAGCCCCTCCCTTGTACAAAAGCTTACTCTTACTAAATTTGATCTAAATAGGATAAATCATGTTACTAGAAATGAAAGTAAAATTGTCCAGATTTGGCAAGAAAATATGCTAATATGATAGTACTCTGTCAACAAATCTAAGATGTTTTAGGTAGTGACCTAAAACATAGTACTCCTGTCAAACAAATGTAAGACGTTTAATAATTTATGCGAAAGTTTGTTCAGCAGTTTGTTTAAGCAGCAGCAGCAACAACACCAAAGCCTTTAGTCCTGAATTAGTTGGGGTAGGCTATAGGTGAAAACCATAAGATCTTGCGATCAACTAATGGTTCTGGCACATGGATAGTAAGCTTCCACGCACCCCTGTCCATGGCTAGTTCTTTGGTGATACTTTAGTCCTTCAGATCTCTTTTTACGGACTCCTTCCATGTCAAGTTTGGTATACCCCGACCTCTTGACATTATCAGCACGCTTTAGCCGTTCGCTATGCACTAGAGCTTCTGGAGGCCTGTGCTGCATATGCCCAAACCATCTCAGGCGATATTGGACAAGCTTCTCTTCAATCGGTGCTACCTCATCTCTATCTCGTATATCATCATTTCGGACGGTCCTTGTGTGGCCACGCATCCATCTCAACATGCACATCTCTGCCACGCCTAACTGTTCAATATGTCGCCTTTTAGTCGGCCAACACTTAGCGTCATTCAACACTACGGGTTGAATCGTCGTCCTATAGAACTTGCCTTTTAGCTTTTGTGCACTCTCTTGTCACAAAGAATGCTAGAAAGCTTGGTGCCACTTAATCCATTCGGCTTTTATTCGATGGTTCACATCTTCATCGGTATCTCCATCCTTCTGCATCATTGACCCCGAATATTGAAAGGTGTCCTTCTGGGGCACCACCTATCCATCAAGGATAATCTCCTCTTCCTCGTGCCTAGTAACTAAAACGGCACCTCATGTACGCAGCTTTAGTTCTACTAAGTCTAAAACCTTTCGATTGCAAGGTTTGTCTCCATAGTTCTAGCTTCCTATTGACCCTCGTCTGACTATCATCGACTAGCATCACATCATCCATAAAGAGCATACACCATGGGATATCTCCTTATATATCCCTTGTAACCTCATCCCTCACCAAAGCAAAAGGATAAGGGCTCAAAGCTGACCCCTGGTGCAGTCCTATTTTAATCAGGAAGTCATCAGTGTCGCAATCACTTGTTCGAACACTTGTCACAACGTTGTGGTGCATGCCCTTGATGAGGGTAATGTACTTTGCTGGGACTTTGTGTTTTTCCATGGCCCATCACATGACATTCAGTGGTATCTTATCGTAGACCTTCTCCAAGTCAATGAACACCATATGCAAGTCCTTTTGCTCCTTGTATCTCTCCATAAGTTGTCATACAAAGAAAATGCTTCCATGGTCGATCTCCCAAACCGATTTTTGGTCACGCTTGTCATTCTTCTTAAGTGGTGCTCAATGACTCTCTCCCATAGCTTCATTGTATGATTCATCAACTTAATTCCACGGTAATTAGTACGACTCTGAACATCCCTTTGTTCTTGAAGATTGGTACTAATATACTTCGCCTCCATTCTTCTGGCATCTTGTTTGCCCGAGAAATGAGGTTGAAAAGCTTCGTTAGCCATGCTATCGCTATGTCTCCGAGGCCTCTCCACACCTCAATGGGGATACAACCAGGGCCATCGCCTTGCCTCCTTTCATCTTTTTAAAGCCTCCTTGACCTTAGTCTCCTGGATTCGCCACACAAAACGCATGCTGGTATCATCAAAGGAGTTATCCAGTTCAATGGTGGAGCTCTCATTCTCCCCATTGAACAGCTTGGCGAAGTACTCCCACCATCTATGCTTAATCTCCCCGTCTTTCACCAGGAGCTGGTCTGCTCCGTCCTTGATGCATTTGACTTGGTCAACATCCCTCGTCTTCCTCTCTCAGATCTTGGCTATCTTATAGATGTCCCTTTCGCCTTTCTTCGTGTCTAACCGCTGGTAGAGGTCCTCATACGCCTGACCCCTTGCTTCACTCATAGCTCACTTTGCGGCCTTCTTTGCCGTCCTGTACTTCTCTATGTCGTCTGCACTCCTATCCAGATATAGGCGTCTGAAACAATCTTTCTTCTCCTTAATAGCCTTCTGAACATCATCATTCCACCACTAGATATTCGCTTTGCTTCACTCACAGATAAAGCCTTCACTCACAGCTCGCTTTGCTTGACTCACAGCAGTTTGTTTAAGCATAACTGATAAAATCTGACAAGAAAATGAACTTGAGATCATTTTAGGGCCTAAGGGGCCTACTTGGTTTGCCGCTTACGTTGGTTTACTGCATGTAACCATGCGCACTAACTGGATAGCATGATTAGTGAGGCTAGTAGAGTAGGGGACGGCTACAACATGGTTACTGCCTAAGCTGATTCTTTTGCGGGCCCTAATATTTTTGAACGGACGCATTGCATGGGGCTCACCGAGATCTGCGCCTGTGCTTTTATGCCTCCATTTCGTAACGTATTGAGCCAGGTCTTGGACTCCGCCTATGTTGTCTCAACATAGCCGGTCCCAAGCCCGGGTAAAGGAGGAGGGTTGTGATAGGCTTGGCGAGCCAACGTAAAAACTAAGCCACTCTTATGGAGATGAAACCCAAAAGTGCATGCCAAGGCAACAAGTAGAAGCCGATGCCAATGTAGTAAGCTCACTTGTACACGCAGGATGCACCAATTGCAAATGTGTGGACGGTGCTCAACCTAATGACCCATGAGCTACACCGCCAAGACCTGGCTCAATACAACAACAAAGCCTTTAGTCCCAAACAAGTTGGGGTAGGCTAGAGGTGAAACCCATAAGATCTCGCAACCAACTCATGGCTCTGGCACATGGATAGCAAGCTTCCACGCACCCCTGTCCATAGCTAGCTCTTTGTCGATACTCCAATCCTTCAGGTCTCTCTTAACGGACTCCTCCCATGTCAAAATCGGTCGACCCCGCCCTCTCTTGACATTCTCCGCACGCTTTAGCCGTCCGCTATGCACTGGAGCTTCTGGAGGCCTGCGCTGAATATGCCCAAACCATCTCAAACGATGTTGGACAAGCTTCTCCTCAATTGGTGCTACCCCAACTCTATCTCGTATATCATCATTCCGGACTCGATCCTTCCTCGTGTGGCCACACATCCATCTCAACATACGCATCTCCGCCACACCTAACTGTTGAACATGCCGCCTTTTAGTCGGCCAACACTCCGCGCCATACAACATTGCGGGTCGAACCGCCGTCCTGTAGAACTTGCCTTTTAGCTTTTGTGGCACTCTCTTGTCACAGAGAATGCCAGAAGCTTGGCGCCACTTCATCCATCCGGCTTTGATTCGATGGTTCACATCTTCATCAATACCCCCATCCTCCTGCAACATTGACCCCAAATACCGAAAGGTGTCCTTCCGAGGTACCACCTGGCCATCAAGGCTAACCTCCTCCTCCTCACAGCTAGTAGTACTGAAACCGCACATCATGTACTCGGTTTTAGTTCTACTAAGCCTAAACCCTTTCGATTCCAAGGTTTGTCTCCATAACTCTAACTTCCTATTTACCCCCGTCCGACTATCGTCAACTAGCACCACATCATCCGCAAAGAGCATACACCATGGGATATCTCCTTGTATACCCCTTGTGACCTCATCCATCACCAATGCAAAAAGATAAGGGCTCAAAGCTGACCCATGATGCAGTCCTATCTTAATCGGGAAGTCATCGGTGTCGACATCACTTGTTCGAACACTTGTCACAACATTATTGTACATGTCCTTGATGAGGGTAATGTACTTTGCTGGGACTTTGTGTTTCTCCAAGGCCCACCACATGACATTCCGCGGTATCTTATCATAGGCCTTCTCCAAGTCAATGAACACCATATGCAAGTCCTTCTTATGCTCCCTATATCTCTCCATAAGTTGTCGTACCAAGAAAATGGCTTCCATGGTCGACCTCCCAGGCATGAAACCAAACTGATTTTTGGTCACGCTTGTCATTCTTCTTAAGCGGTGCTCAATGACTCTCTCCCATAGCTTCATTGTATGGCTCATCAGCTTAATTCCACGGTAATTAGTACAACTCTGAACATCCCCCTTGTTCTTGAAGATTGGTACTAATATACTCCGTCTCCATTCTTCTGGCATCTTGTTTGCCCAAAAAATGAGGTTGAAAAGCTTGGTTAGCCATACTATCGCTATGTCCCCGAGACCTTTTCACACCTCAATGGGGATACAATTAGGGCCCATCGCCTTGCCTCCTTTCATCCTTTTTAAAGCCCCCTTCACCTCAGACTCCTGGATGCGCCGCACAAAACGCATGCTGGTCTCATCAAAGGAGTCATTCAGTTCAATGGTAGAACTCTCATTCTCCCCATTGAACAGCTTGTCGAAGTACTCCCGCCATCTATGCTTAATCTCTTCGTCCTTCACCAAGAGTTGGCCTGCTCCGTCCTTGATGCATTTGACTTGGCCAATATCCCTCGTCTTCCTCTCCCGGATCTTAGCCATCTTATAGATGTCCCTTTCACCTTCCTTTGTGCCTAACCGTTGGTAGAGGTCCTCATATGCCCGACCCCTTGCTTCACCAACAGCTCGCTTTGCGGCCTTCTTCGCCATCTTGTACTTCTCTATGTTGTCTGCACTCCTATCCAGGTATAGGCGTCTGAAGCAATCTTTCTTCTCTTTAAGCGCCTTCTGGACATCATCATTCCACCACCAGGTATCCTTATCTTCGCTTCTCCTTCCCCTGGACACTCCAAACTCCTCCGAGGCCACCTTACGAATGCAAGTCGCCATCTTCATCCACACATTGTCCGCATCCCCTCCTTCCTCCCAAGGGCCCTCCTTAA